TTCTAATAGTTCACTAAAACTAACATTCAACATATCATGAAAATTTCATTTAACCTTGATTGGCATAATTTTGAACTCCAAATTTCTTTTTATATGAGAGAGGTGTAGACATATCATATGTTCCTTCTAAACATTTGCATACAATCTCACTGACACTTGTTTCCAATGAACTTTCTAAATCCTGAGATTGCACTCCATATTTACAAATTTTTTCTGTTACTCCTGTCTCTTTTGGATTTTCCTGGTCTTGACATTCTACTATATCTTGAACTTCCACTCTATCAATAGATTCTACATATATTTGTAATCGCAAAAAAGTTTATATGTATTACGCTATTGAATATAAATTTCAATGACAAAAAATTCAAAATCTATATCTAACCTTTCCCAATTTCAGTGCCAATATCTACATCTATATCATCTAGATGTGCATCTCTATAATCGCTTTCATATTGAACTTCTGCATGCACATTCGTACATCACCACCTGCATCTTTGTTAATTGTAACAGTAGGTTTTGTACCATCACAATGATCATCAACTCCATCTTTAGTAATTGGAACACTAGATTCTCTCTCTATGTTCCTTTCATCAGGTTTTACAAAAATCTTCAACAAAGTATCAATCTTTGATCCTAGACTTTTCTTTAAATCATATGAAAGAAACTAAGTTAGAAAGTTAAGGACAGATAGTCCTAAACTTCAAGTTACAAGTAAAAAAGTTAAGGACAGACAATCTTTAACTTAGAGTAACAAGTTCAAAAGTTAAGGACACTTGGTCCTAAACTTCAAGTTTCAAGTTCAAAAGTTAAGGACATGCAGTCCTTAACTTTCAATTACAAGTTAAAAAGTTAAGGACAATAGGTCTTGAACTTCAAGTTTCAAATTGAAAAGTTAAGGATACTTGGTCCTGGACTTCAAGTTTCAAGTTCAAAAGTTCAGGACAGATGGTCTTAAACCTAGACTTACAAGTTCAAAAGTTAAGGACATTTGGTCATAAACTTCAAGTTTCAAGTTCAAAAGTTAAGGACATGCAGTCCTTAACGTATAGTTACAAGATCAAAAGTTAATGACAATAGGTTCTTAACTTCAAGTTTTAAGTTCAAAAGTTAAGGACAAACAATCCTTAACTTTGAATTCCAAGGTCAAAAGTTAAGGACCATGGTCCTGAACTTCAAGTTTCAAGTTCAAAAGTTCAGGACAGATGGTCCTGAACTTAGACTTACAAGTAAAATTTTTTAGGATAGATAGTCCTTAACTTTGAGTTACAAGTTCAAAAGTTAAGGACACAAGGTCCTGAACTTAGACTAACTAAAATTAATGATATTACCTTGATATCATTTTGAATCTTTTTTTTCTGATACAACTATTTTCTGATTTATTCTAGCAACTTCAGCCTGCAGATCATTTTTAAACTTCTCTGATAATTTCTTAATCATAAACCATAAAAACAAAAAAGTCTCATAAGCAAAAAACAATCAAATAAAAAACTAATGCTATTCAAAGACAGAAAACCTACTTTAACAATTTCCTTAAGCATGGCTTCATCAAATTGTATGGAAGAAAGCATTGAGCTTTGATCTCGAGAAATTGGCTCATGCACACTAAAAAGCTCTGCATCTTCTTCAATAGGAATAAATGGTGCCACCTCGATCAACTTATACACCTATTATATAACAAAAAACACAAGTTTTCAGAACTAAAACAAATAAACAAAAAAAGCTAGTAATTAGATTAACTTACATTTTCATTATGGAAGTATTTGTTTACACAAAGAATCATATTGTGGAGATTTCATTTCCGAATAACATAACATCCGAGGAAAATCACATTCTCGGAAGTTCACAAATTGTTTTTCCTGGAAAATAGGCAATACTTCCATAATCCAAATACAAAAAGCAAAAGGAAAGCCAAGTATAATGTAACTATCCTTGTCTTTATCTTTGTCTTTGTCTTTCTCATTCTCATTCTCATTGGGCTTCAAACAACTCTTCAATGATTTTAATAACGTTTCATAACAAAGAGAGACCCAGTTGAAAGAAGAGCAGAGTTCATCATCATCTACAATTTTCATTATTTGCTCGGACACATTCCTATTCTTCCGCCTCCCCATCAAAATAGATTCAACAAAATAAATTGTTGCCAACTTCACAGCATCATCATCATCACTGCCTACAAATGATGCAGCTATACCATTTGGGTGACTAGTAATAAAATTAAACAAATCACCCAACTCAACTCTATCCTTTCCGGGAAAATAGACTTTCGAAAGCCTATTTTCTTTTTCATGCAAACCTTTGATGTCTAGTGAAGAATAACACTTCAAACTAGTAATTATATGAAATGCTTCACGTGCAAACTGAATTTCATGGTCAAAAACCTTGGATGTCATCGAATCAGGGTCATTATTTACAATTTCTGAAAGCAATACACAGTGAATAAGTTTACCAAAGAACTTCACACTTTATAATCAGAAAAAGTTTCCGAAAATACCATCCCTCAACTTCTTCCACTGTCTGTTCGACAATTTTTTTATTGTTTCCTTATACTGTAAATCTCCTTTCCAATAGCTCATTAAATTACGCCAAACATCAAAGTCGAACACACGATCGCCTTCCATTAGCACACTACAAATAAGGAAAAAGAACATAAAAGATTAGGACTAAAAGATTAGAACTTACAGTTTCAAGTTGAAAAGTTCGAGGCACTTGGTCCTGAATTTCAAGTTTCAAGTTAAAAAGTTAAGGACAGGCAGACCTTAACTTAAAGTTTCAAGTTCAAAAGTTAAGGACAATAGGTCCTGAACTTCAACTTTCAAGTTCAAAAGTTAAGGACACTTGGTCCTTAACTTCAAGTTTCAAGTTAAAAAGTTAAGGACAGGTAGTCCTTAACTTATAGTTTCAAGTTGAAAAGTTAAGGACACTTGGTCCTGAACTTCAAGTTTCAAGTTCAAAAGTAAAGGACACTTGGTCCATAACTTTGAATTCCAAGTTCAAAAGTTAAGGACACTTAGTCCTGAACTTTGACTTACAAGTTAAAAAGTTAAGGACACTTGGTCCTTAACTTAGAGTTACAAATTAAAAAGTTAAGAACATGCAGTCCTTAACTTATAGTTTCAAGTTGAAAAGTTAAGGATACTTGGTCCTGAACTTCAAGTTTAAGTTCCAAAGTTAAGGACACTTGGTCCTTAACTTAGAGTTACAAATTAAAAAGTTAAGAACATGCAGTCCTTAACTTATAGTTTCAAGTTGAAAAGTTAAGGATACTTGGTCCTGAACTTCAAGTTTAAGTTCCAAAGTTAAGGACACTTGGTCCTAAACTTCAAATTTCAAGTTCAAAAGTTAAGGACATTGAGTCCCTAACTTTGAGTTCCAAGTTCAAAACTTACTTGGTCCTTAACTTTTATGAACACAGTTAACTAAAAATTCATAACCACAGTTAGCTTATGAATTCGTACGACTATTTTTATGAAATGTCCTTACATAATCTAATATATTGATTGAACCACAAACACATTTCAATACCAAAAATTTCTGAATAACTTCCTCACGGAACTCCACTACTTATTCGACACTGAATCAACTTATAATCATTATTTTTGAAATTTCACACATACTTGACACAATATTGATCACGATTACGCATATACAAAAACAAAAATGCATAAAAGCAAAAAAAAAATACCAGTTCGATCGTTCAATGTAGAGAAGATGACGAAGGAGAAAGATTAAGTGCAGCTGGTTTGCATGCAAGGACGATACATATACTGAGGAGCACACGAAAGTTGCCTCTGAAATTTTCCCTCTGAAAAACGAATAAAACAAGGGTTTAAAAATATAAGAATTGAAGGAAGGGTAAAACTGTCTTTTCAAAATAATTTTAATAGAGTAGTGACTATTTTTGCTCAGTACTAGAATTAATAGATAAAAAATAAACACCACCTTACTTAGTGGCTACCACACGCCATTTTTATTCTGAACTCCTTTTTGATTTGTTTATGACCATAAATTTCAAAAGTTTTTATTTTTTATTAAACTCCGTGCCCAATCAAACATGTTCATATAAATCGGAACGGAAGGAGTATTACATTATATTAAAAATATTTTTGAAGCTGTTTTAGCGCAACAACTTTGTTCTCTCTCCCTCAGAATATATCCTTCGATGTGAAAGAGCAAAACAAAGTTCTGCATATCACATGGATGGACCGAATAAAGGGACTCCATTATTGCTTGACAAGTACCGTTTGCCCGTCTAAAGAACCAAAAGGTTATTCCTTTAGTGGCACATTTTTTTGTTATATTCTAAAAAGTATTATTATATTTAAATTTTTTTTAATAATATAAATAATTTTAGACCACAAATTTCAAATAAATAGCGCCACATAAATTAGGATGCAAGTAAGAAATGATATGGACCCTCCATCCGTCACGGGCTCCAGCAGCGACGCTATGTATGATCTAGGGTGGTCAATTGAATACTTTCCGCCGAAAATTTATATTATATATAGGATAAACTATGGGGAAAAAATAAAAAATAGCCAGATTTATAATTGGTAATTGAAAAGTAGCCACAATTTTAAAAATAATCGAAATTTAGCTATTTTTTCATATAAAGATGAAATCTCAACAAAACATCCTTAAAATCCGGAAAAAAATCCAGCATAATATGATGGAGTTCGAATTTTTTACATATGAGTTTCTAGTATAACGTGATGGAATTTCATAATATGTTGGAGTTCCAATATAATATATTGGATGTGTTTTATACGCAGGAGCGTCATAATCCAACATATTATGCTAGATTTTTCTGTGTTTCAGCAAAATAGTAACTATTTTTCAATGACTCTGCAAATGCTGGCTCGAGCCCGCATATTAGCTCTGAAATTCAAATTAGTTGAGTTCCAAAACAAGTACCGGACTGAAAAACTCGAAAAGATAATGCTATAATTCAGAGCTCATATATAATAGGTTGGACCATGCATACTTTATTTTCATATTCCTTGATGAGATTCTTAAGAAATCTTCAAAATAATTATTCATCCACTGAACCTAACATATATCTTCCTCCTTCCGAACTCCTTCATTAGGTAGTTTTCTCCTACAGCAACTTTTACTTTTTACAGGTATTTCAGTAAACTTTTTCTAACAACACTTGAAACATACTACTCCTATATATATGATCATTTCTGTGATTTCTTTTATTTACTCCTGAATCTTATAATTTTAATGTTCATCTCTTGTGCTTCCTCTTAGGATATATTGTATCGGAAATTGGAGTTACAAAAGAAGAAGGAAGAAGCCAAAATACGCTTGATTGATTGTAAGACTTGAACTGAACTTGTGTTAACTTATCTTCTTTTCCCAGGAATTAAGAACGGACAAATTCTATAGTTAAACAGAAAAAATCATCATTAATCCTATTTAGCGACGGATTATCAAAAAACTATGTTAACTACGAGCGATTTAGTGACAGAATTAGTAATGAAGTTCGTAGTTAATTCCAATTTTTTTAGTAGTGCTAAATTGGTTTCATTTGCAATCTACAAAATCTATTTCTTATATTGCTAGAAGAGCTACATGAATCCATTTAACTTTTGTCTTAATACTACTACTCTCTCCATCCCAATTTATGTGATAGTGTTTGACTGATCATTGAGTTTAAGAAAAAAAAATTGAAACTTATGGTTTAAAATAAAACTTCGATATTTATATGTCTATAAATCATCTCGTTGCTAGTTACTTACCTTCTTGGAGCAACTGTCATGTTGTTTCCTTGTGACCTATAGGTCACGGGTTCGAGTCGTGGACATCAGGGTAGGCTGCCTACATCACACCTCCTTGAGTGCGGCCCTTCCCCAGACCCTACGTGCATATGGGATGCTTTGTGCATCGGGTTGCCCTTTTTTTTACTAGTTACTTACCTCAAAAAAATATATGAAAGAAGGGAAGTTCGTATAATATATTTGATATCGCAAAATAGATGTGCGCAATATGTCAAAACCTAAGGGAAATTTGTGAAATTTTTCATAATAAAAATGGGCAGAATGTGTATAATCTTTCATAAGAATTATAGATTATGATAGTAGTATTAAAAGACATTAATAAAATTTCCCTCTTAGTGAAGATTAATATGACAAGGGTTTGGTGAACTTGCAGGGGTTTTCTACTTTTTTAATTTATCTACGGAAGATGGCGCATAACGACATTGAGGATATGTTAGATCACCTGAGAAAGATTAAGAGTAGAGGTGATTTGAATGTTGTCAAGATTGAGACACTTGAAATGGAGCTAAGATTTTTGAGAACCTTTATCAATTACCCTCATGCTCTTTTGCCTGATTCCTTAGTAGAAATCAGAAAGAAGGCAAAATTGATTGTGGAAATGCTTCACTCGGTTTTTGGTGGTATTCCATGTGAATACAAAACTAGTCTTAATGTGGAAAGGCTAGTATCAGAGTTGCAGGAAATTAGTGAAGATAACGGTACCCGTTTAATATACAACTTTGAGCTGAATGATTCCTATATGTTAGAATATATGGATTACCTTGACCAGAATCTAAATGATGCATCGAGGTACTTGGTTCGATCTGTCACTTTTTTCGCGGAAAAAATCAATATCCTGCTGAAGACAGATGGATACTTAAGGCAAGTAAAAGTCATTCAAAACAAATTAAGGTTTTTAAGATACCTATATGGTACAGAGATAAATAGTTATGTCGACCGTGAGAAGTTGGAAGGTATGCAAGCCCGAATACAGTTCATGGCTGACAATGTGGGACAGTTCTGTCTTGCTCTTTGGGTTAAAGAGGATGGAGATGATACATCTAATATCGAGAGTAAACCTCGTTATCTACTATGCTTGGTTGTGATAGTGGAGTTGGAAATGAAAAAGATTTTTCTTTGTGAACTGAAGGCCTCAAAGTTTACTCTATCAAGAACTTTCAAGGATAAGAAATTACCAAAAGGACTTTCATATCAAGTCCACTGTCTTCTGGTGTATCTTAGAGATAAAAATCTTGATAACTTTCCCACTATTTTCTCTGCTCGAAACATTGATATGGCAATAGAGTTCTTGTTAGTTTTTCTCGGCGATATACCAAATCATGTTATTAATGGTAATAGGTTGAATGAAATCTTAGAAAAGGTTGGAGTTCTTGTGGGCGACATACTTTATGTAATTCAAATGCAGCTTCTTTCAGGATCGACAATCAAAGATGATGCGAGCAAGATTGATCTTGGCACGATACAGTTATTGGAGAAAATTGAAGATCTAAAGGCACAACTAGAGAGGTGCTACAAATCCTTAAAATACAGGCCATCTCAGTTTCCCACAGTTGGTGGATTGAGCTTTTTGGATTCGCTCCTAAGGAAATTGAACGAGATGTTGAAATCGAAAACATGTTTAGATTTCATATTGAAACCTCATATTGTCATTTTAGAGAAAGAGTTCGCAAATCTAACATCTGTTTTCAGAGATATTGCAAAGGTGCAACATGAACATGAAAATCTTAAAGATCTTCAAAGGCGTACAATCAATTTGGCATACGAAGCTGAAGTTGCCATTGACTCTATTCTTGCTCAGTGTAATGCTCTTTGGTATCTTTTTTGCTCGCTTCCTGCAATCTTAAAAGAGATCAAGCATATTAGTGCGGAGGTGACCATGATGTGGTCGGAGAACCTTGCTTTTAAGTCCTGCTCTACGGTAGAGCCATCTAAACATATGCCAACTCAACATAGAAATCTTATGAATGGTGAGGAGATAGTTGGTTTTGATAATGACATGAAAAGAATAATTCGGTATCTGACACGAGGGACAAATGAGCTAGATGTCATCCCAATTGTTGGGATGGGGGGTCAAGGTAAAACAACGTGTGTTAGAAAGTTGTACAATAATGACATCATTATTTATCATTTTGATGTTCGAGCATGGTGTGTCATTTCTCAAACATATAGCCGGAGAGAGCTACTACAAGAGATTTACAATCAAGTTACTCGTTGCAAGGACAAGGTAGATGATATTGGCGAACTAGCTGACATGTTGAGGAAAAGCTTAATAGGAAAGAGATATCTCATTGTCTTGGATGATATGTGGGATTTTATGGCATGGGATGACTTAAGACTTTGTTTCCCTGATGTTGTAAATAGAAGCAGAATTGTAGTAACAACTCGTCTTGAGAAAGTGGGTGAACATGTCAAGTGCCATACTGATCTTTATTTCCTTCCATTCCTCACACCCGAAGAGAGTAGGAAATTGTTGCAGAAAAAAGTGTTTCAAAACGAAGCTTGCCCACATGAACTTCAGGATGTGAGTCTAGATGTTGCAAGACGATGCAAAGGGTTGCCCCTAGTGGTTGTCTTGGTAGCTGGAATAATCAAAAAGAAGAAAATGGAAAGATCTTGGTGGCATGAGGTTAAAAAGGCTCTATTTTCCTATCTTGACCGTGAGTTTGAAGACTATTGTCGGGCAACTATGCAGTTAAGTTATGATAACTTACCCGACTATTTAAGACCTTGCCTTCTCTACATGGGGATGTTTCCAGAGGATGAAAGGATCCCGGTGTCTAAATTGATAAGTTTATGGATAGCGGAAGGCTTCGTGCAGAACATTGAATCTGGGAGATTAACGGAAGAGACAGCTGAAGGTTACTTGATGGATCTCATTAGCAGTAACATGGTAATGGTTGCAAGGAGAAGATATAACGGTAAAGTCAAATACTGCCAGGTTCATGATGTAGTGCTTTACTTTTGCTTGGAGAGGAGTAGACAAGAAAAGTTTATGTTGGCAGTGAGGGGGAACATTCAACGTTCTGATTTGAAGGAAAGTCGAGTTAGCTTCAGTTTCAGTAATGAGCTTTCCAAGTTTGCATCCAAAACATGGAAGTCTCTCCACCAACACTTGAGGTCACTGATAACCACCAATGGAGGAGAATCCTTATATTGGAATCCCTTCAGTCAGTTTATTAATTTGATCAGGCTTCTTAAGGTCTTGGATTTGAGTTCCCATAAATTGGGTCGTTTGTCGTTAGATATGTTGAAACCACTAATTCACCTCAAGTACGTCGCACTTTTCACAGACAAATTCGATTTTCATGGAAAATCACATCTTCCCCATCTAGAAACTTTAATTCTCAAGTGTTTAATGCGTACGCAGTTATCAGCGAATTTTTGGAAAATGAAAAAATTAAGGCATGTAGATTTTATTGAAACTGGTTTTTTTTGGGAAAAGCAGATCTTTGAAGAATCCTCTAAGTTGGAAAATTTGAGAATATTAAAGGGTGTCGAATTTACACTCGATACTGATTGCTTGAATGTTTTAGTACAGAGGTGTCCAAATCTTCAAGAACTTGAAATCTTCTTTTTGAGCAAATATTGGCGAAATATTGATGAAGAAAAAATTTGTCTCAAATTGGAGAGTCTTACCCAGCTTCAATCACTTCGCCTTTTCTTTCCCTTGTCGGCTGTTGTACACTTGCCTTCAAATATAAAGAAATTGGTACTATGCGGGGCTTCGATGGAAAGCACTATTTTCTCCATTGCAGGACTACCAAGTCTAGAGTATCTCCAATTAAGGGATCTGCATTTTATTCAATCTGAAGAGTGGTGCCTTGGAGATATCACGTTCCCTAAACTTAGGGTGTTGAAGCTTATGAACTTAGGTATCTCAAGGTGGGATGCGTCAGAGGAATCTTTTCCCCGGCTTGAAACACTTGTTATAAAAATTTCTAGGTATCTCGAGGAGATCCCACTTAGCTTTGCAGATATTCCAACGCTGAAACAGATTAAGTTGATGAGGTGCAGCAACAATAAATCTCTGGTGGCTTCAGCTTTGAGAATTAAGAAAGAAGTTGAAGAGAATGAAGGATGCAACCGTGTAGAGATCATTATTGATGTAAGTAGAAGCAAACTCAAATGTGATGTTTTAGTGTCTTAACGTGCATCTAATGTGCAAACAATACAGGGTGTTTAATGGATGTTTCAGGCAGCTGTGAGTCAAGCATGTGCTTGTCACAATAACATGGTATAACAAGGATGTGTTGAATTTGACAATTGCTTAGGCATCAAAAGCACAGACAGAGTGGACGGACGGAGTTCTTTCTTAGCAAATTGTTGTAGTCATGCTGGGGTCTATTATGCGGAAACCCCAATCTCCTAATATTGTAACATTACTAAATCTGTTTTGATTGATCGATTGAGACGCATACCCTCTTTTAAGTTTGTTTCTAATGATTGTAGAACAATATCATATGGTCTTCCATTTGCTTTTGCAGTTTCACCTTCTATGTTGCACCTGCAAAATTCACCTCTTTTAAATTTACCAAGCCATAAAGAATGAAGCTAATAAGTTCCTTCTTAACATTCATCATTAAAAACTTAAGAGAGAATACAAGAGACAGGAAATGGATAAATCGAAAACTTTATGACTGATCGATGATATTTTGTTCTGACAAAATGAGCAGCTGGTTACAGTGTCTTTCTATATACAAATTGGTGACAACTTCAGCCGAGCACACAAAGTGAACAAGTTTAGCCCACGCCAGAAACTATTTGTGAGCACGTGATTTTTGTCCTATATGAATTATTCCAACAAATTCAAAACAAAATAATTTCTCTCAGTGTTTGCAATTTTGTGAATTTTTGTGGCATTTGCTGTTAATTATTCGCATTTTGTTTGTGCGTTTTAACTAATGAAAAATACAAAAATACGTTGCATTTGCATTTAGGGTTAATTTTACATTTTAGGATTAATTAGAAAATTAATTGTTGCATAAAATGGAAAAATCGCAAAATTAGTTTAATTTGCACTTTTAATTGTAGCTTTGATTTTGAGTAACTTTCTTTTGTTAGTTTGTTTTTAATTAATTGTGTTAATTATCATTTTAGGTTTAATTAATTTTTTTTAGTTCTAGGAATTAATTTTGATTTTAATTAAATTTCGAAAAAAGGGAAAAAAGGAAAAAAGAAAAAGAGTTTTGAATTAATTTTGTTTTGAATAAAAGATGAAAAGGGTTGGGCCAGTTTTCAAACTAAACTCCCAGGACCAAATCTTCCAATGTGAAACCCGCCCGAAATACCCTGTACCCAGCCCAAACCCGCGTTCAACCCGGTCCGGTTCCCCCCCAATATCCAAACGACGTCGTTTTGTTAGGTTTTGATCTGAGCCGTTGATCGTGCCTAGATCCAACGGACCAGAATTGGCCCTTCCCCCCGTATAAAAATGTCCGAACCACTCAGACCCCCCTTCGTCGTCTCCAACACTCCCAAAGACCCCAACGCAACCCCACCGCGCACCGCCGCCGGAAATCGCCCTACGACGGCGGTAGGTCTCCGATGGCCACCAAATTTACACCCTAGCTCCCTCTCCTTCTCCTCATTCCAAATCCACACCCCCTTTCCCTCGAATCACACCCGAATTTCTCAAATCTGGCTCAGAATCTCCAAACCCTAATCCGCCGCCCTATTTTTCCACTGCCTCAACCGGCGGCGCCACCTCCAAACACTACCAAAATAACACCCTAGACCCCCCACTCCCCTCTTTCCGAATCCATAACTCTTTTCCCTCGAACATGCCCCGAGCCCGTCGAATATTGAATTGAAGATGAGACCTAAAAAGTCAAACTCTAAAATCGGCAGATTTGGTGACGATTAAGACAAAAATAGACCTTGGTCATGTGTTTTCATCTGAGAACACATGATCGAGACCCCTTTCGGTCAAAATCGAGAGATTGAGGAAGAATTTCAAAGTTGGCCATCCTTGCTAGGTATTTCTGTTCGTTTGCTGGTCTTGCATGATTTCTTTTTGTCATTTTGATTTCATTTTTTTTGTCGTATCCGTTTTTCTTCTCTTCACCATAGGTTCATCTGTTAGTCTGTCCGTGTTGCATATTTAGCTTAATAGCATGTTTAATTCATTATTTAGTTCATCACCATCTCGTTTTCTTCCCCTGTTTCCTTTTTAGAAGGTTCTTGTTTTTTTAATTGGTTTGAATTCCCAATTCGGTCAGTTTTTAAAATTTTGGGTTTCTTTTGGGCTTCTAAAAATTCAAAAGCCCAAGAGGGGAATTAATGGGGATTATAGACTCGTGGGGGCTCTGAATTGGGTCAATTTGACCCATGTTTTGGACTGGTTCATTGGAGTAATTAACAAGGCTTAGAGGGGTAATTTGGGTAATCTAGGCTTATGGAATCTTTTCATAACAGAATAGGAAGCTTCCTGGAAGCTGAAAAGCAGGCTTACTTGGTAAACAAGCCAAAAATTCAGGGACTAAGTAGCAAAAACAAAAATATGAAAAGGGTCTAGGTGCAAGTCTGATCCTCCTTTAGCTGCCCTAGTGCCTTGCTTATAAAGACAACTTTTCTTGCCTTTGAAGGCAGAGATTTCTAAGAGCTGAAATCCAGAAAATATAGAAAAACTGCAAAAAAATAAATAAAAAATCTACTGTTTCATAGGAGATCGGGAAGAGCTAAAAAATACAGAAAACAGAGAAACGACTAAAAAAAGAGATAAAACTACTGTTTCATTGATTTTGCTTTGAATTTGGGAAGTTTCGATATTTTTGAAACAAATTTCCTGTTCATCTGGAGTAGAATGCTTTGAGTTTGGTTTGTCAAAAGCCTGGTTGAGGTCAGCTTCGATTACTGTTTGATTGAGAGTAGATCTGGACTATTTCCCATCATTTTTGTGGCTGAAATGGACTGTATTTGTTGAGTCTTGCTGTGCTGCTGCTGTTTCGATCATATACTGAAACTCACCTGCTCTTGTTTTCCTCTTATTTCCCAGGTACTTAGATCTGAATCCCAAATATGTAAAGAATGATTTATGGGATGTCTTTACCGAAGAGAAATGAATAATTGTGCTTTCTTTTACCAGATGTCATCTCTTCTTAGATTTTTTAGTTTGCTTTGTCGAGTCTTATCTCAACATGTCGTTTTATCAGGCTGTTTTGAAGTTTTTATAGTAAAGCTACAATGGGACTATATGTAGTATTTGTTGATTTCCATTTGTTTAATATCTAAGTTCTGCTGTTGTTAGAGGTGATCGTCAGCTTGAGATCCATGCATATTGTTGCGCAGATTTTTGAATGTCTTGTTAGTCACAAGATTGCTACAATTAAGACTGAATTGGATGGTTATTATATGACTAAGTGTGTAATAAAATTAAGCATGTATAGCTATATTCAGTGTGAAGTTTGAGTAAGGTTTATATTCAACTGCTTTCCAGTTGCTTTTCCTGTTCAGGTGATTGTTAAGTATTCACGTTATTTCATCAGACTTCACAATTGCTTTTCTCAAAAATTTCAATGGGCATGACACGAGATAGTGTGATTCAGAATTGACTTTGGTTTAATAGTGTAAAAATGAATGTAAAGGACTGGCTTCCATGTTGATGTGTGGACTCGAACTAGGGACCTCGTCGTTGGTTGAAACTGCCCTTGTCTAAGTTTGGACTCTCCCTTGAGTCAGTCTTGGACTGATACCAATTGGTAATTCAGAACATGTCCTACGTCTGTGAGCCATTGGGCCCCACGCTAAGCCAAAGTTTGGATTTCATGCTGTTAGCCTCTTGCATTTATAAAATGTATTCTCTTAGTTTGGCCCGCAGAAGAACCCGTGTCCATTAATATCGAGCAATTACAATTTTAGTAGCCCTTTTAATTAATTTGTCGTTTCTTAATATTGGAGATGTGCCATATTATAGTACAAGTAAGTTTATGGTCCTCATGAATTAGTGTAGACCCTTTAAATTAGAATAGATTTGAGGTGCGCCGTGCCAAACAAAAATCACAATTGCATGGCCTTCGTATTAATTTAGATATAAAAGTTAACAAATGTACGGAGTTTGCTTACGTGCAGTTAATATACTATCCTAATTATGGACACGTTCGCGTGACATGGTTACGATTTTCTAAAAAACAAAATCGGAGTATGCGTTCGCGCAACTTCAACCAAATTTTTCTTAAATAAATAGACAAGCGTTATTCGTTGTGGACACGTTCGCGTGACATGATTTTTGACACGCCAAACAAACGGGTACACATACGCGTGACTTGTTTCAAGATGTTTTCTTAATTAAAAGAGGTAAAAGCACATAGGTTCTAAAACGAGTAATTAAACAATTTTAATAAGCCAAGTATGATCAAAGCGACCTTGCTAGAACCACGGAACTCGGGAGTCCTAACACCTTCTCCCGGGTTAACAGAATTCCTTACCCGGATTTCTATGTTTGCAGACTGTAGTACAGAGTCAATTTTTTCCTGGATTCGGGATTCGAACCGGTCACTTGGGACACCATAAATTATCCCGAGTGGCGACTCTGAATTTTTAAACAAACAAATCCCATTTCGACTGTCCTTTAATTGGAAAAACTCCCTTATATTTATACCCTTTCCGGGGTTGTAGGTAAAAAGGAGGCGTGACACTATTTACATTTGATAGCCGAAAAAGTGTATAAAATTTGTATACTTTTTTGTATATATAATACATAATGTGTGTGTATGTATATATATATATATATATATATATATATGAGAGAGCTACTGCAATACAAATTGCAATGTTTAGAAAGAATACATTTCCTCCTCTCATTATTAAACAAGAGCAACAGCTGCTGCAATCACATTATATTATTTGATGATACTAGCGGCATACCGTACCTATATATTCGCGTAAAGATTAATTTCATAACAAAATGATCATCTAGACACCTCCAAAATTATGTGCCACATCCGCATTTGCATTTACGTGTTCAACTTTATACAAGTTGAGGTGCCTACTTGTGCACACCCAAAGTTGGATGATATACTTGCCAGCTGAGGCCAAGTTTGAGGGTCTGTTTATTATCCGATAATTAATCCATTTTCTATCTATATTAAAATATAGATCGGGTCGGATAATTTATCCATTTTTTATTACCTGTCAATATCTGACCTGACCCACCCTAGATGGTACCAATAGAGCACAAGTGCGAACATTCGTAGACTGGTAAAAAAACGTACGACCAAATTAATCTAAAATTTCTGGCAGGGTAATTGGCGCATTTTTTGGCAGTAATTGAAATGCATAACTACAACATAAATAAATAAGTAAATATGTAATGGTCAAATATCATGGTAAAACATACTTAGAAATGAGAAACAAAGAGTAAATTTCATGGCATAATAAAATACATCAATAGATTACTCCTTGATTTGAATCTACTTATAACTATTCCACCTTTGATACCCAAACCAATTATAACCCAAAATAAATAGCACGAGTGCAAGTTTCTATAGTTCGTTTAATCAAGCAAACAGGGACGGAGCTATAGTGCCCGGAACGGATTCGACCGAACCCGATAGCTTTGGTTCGAACCATGTGTTTGTCTTAAATAACCCATTGAACATGTATAAATTATTAATTTAGAATTTACTAACTTAAAACAATTAAAATCCCGAACCCATAAATTTGAAATCCTGACTCCGCCTCTGCGAGCAAAAAGATTTCTATAGTGACCAACAGGCAAATGTTCTTTCCTTGTCCTCCTCTTCATCCATTGTATCACTAAGTCTTCTGCCATTTGTTTCTTGTAAACACACAACAAAAGTATACCATTTGTTGTTCCTTCCAATTGCTATGAGCAGCAACAACAACAACAACCCAATATAATCTCATTTAGTGGGGTCTGGGGAGGGTAGTGTGTAGGCAGACCTTACCCCTACCCTGGGGTAGAGAGATTGTTTCCAAATAGACCCCCGACATCCTTCCCTCCAAGAACTTCCCACCTTGCTCTTGGGGGACTCGAACTCACAACCTCTTGGTTGGAAGTGAAAGTTGCTTAACATCAGTCCAATTACTATGAGCATTGGACTGAAAGCTCCGAGAACCATTGCTTGTCTCACCATTGCCACAACCGAGTTCCTCACACACGTCGGAAAAAGTTCCAACGTGTAGATTAATAGAATGCTAAACGTTGTACATGCGCTGAAATATGAAATCAATCCAACCCCTATTTGCAATTCCTTGAATTTTTCACGCTCAAATATAACACAACCTATGTTACAAATTCCACTTAGCATAGCAAATCCTAGTAATGAACCTTTCCTACTAAGTGGGCATTTGGATATAAGAATTGTAAAATTCCAAAAAAAGTGAAAACAAAATTCAAGTGAAAATGGTATTTGAATATTAGAGTTGTGTTTGGACATGAATATAATTTTGGTTTTTTCTTTTTATGTTTTGTGAGTGATTTGAGTGAAAATTTTGAAAAACAACATTTTGGAGTTTTTCAAATTTTCGAAAAATTCCAAAAGCATCTTCAAGTGAATTAAAAATTTTATGAACAAATATTGATTTCAAAAAAAAAAAGTAAAAAATTTTCGGAAAAAAATTCTTATATCCAAACGGGCTCTAAGTTTCCCAATAAGGAAAAGAATCAAAATGGAAGATGGCAATTCAGATAATGCATTCAATGTAATGCTTAAGTAAAGATTGAAATTTAAACTTCCAACACCTAATGACATAGGGAAAATGCATAAGTACCTCTGATCTATAGCCGGATTTCCAATTATACACTTTTTCTTTGCGGGAATGCTATTACCCCCCTAAACTTATTTTAAATGGAATTATTTGCACCCTAAAACTAGACAACCAAACTCTTGGCAAGTGGTGAGCTACCCGCGCCCCCACATGTATTTTTAGTACTTTTTTTTTTATTCTTTCTTCTTTTTCTTATCCTTTTTTCTTATTTCTTATTATTCTCATTTTTTTTTTGTTATTTTATTCTCTTTCTTTTTGTTTTGATCACCGGCGACATAATATGGAGGTCGTCGGAATTTCACAAACACCATTTTTTTCGGCGACAAATTCTTATCCCGATCTAAGTGTGTTTTGTTTTATATATATATAAATTTTTCTTGAAAGTGTAATTTATGAGTGAGAGGAAAATCAAAAGAAATAAAAATGAATATAAGCTGAGAAAACTTTTTTCAGTTAAAATTTCAATACATCATTTTTTTTCCGGCGTGGGAAGGTTTTCCGATGATGAATTTCCCCCCCAAATCTGATTGTATTTTGCTTTTCTTATGAATAGATCTTTTTGAGAGTTTAATTTGTGTGTGAAAAGAAAAAATGGAAGAAAAACGGTTAAACAAAGTCGCCGGTGAATGAATATCCGCCGGAATTAGAGAAGAAATGAAAAAAAAAGTAAAAGAAATAAGACAAAGAAAAAGGAAAAGGAAAAGGAAAAAAAAAGTAAGAAAAAATGGTAAAAAAGAATAAAAAATAATCTGAAAATCATTTTTTTCTTGCTTCTCACTCTCCTATGTCAGTAATTCCATTTAAAATAAGTTTAGAGGGTAATAGAATTCCGGCAAAGAAAAAGTATAGTTGGAATTCCGGGTGCTTATGCATTTTCCCAATAGCATACCATAGTAAGTCATACCAATACCAAATCCAACACATATCACTGTTACTAGTCGACGAAAAGACCAATTTCTTTCCACCAACATCCTGATAGCTGAATATAGATCGACTGTGTTGTTATTGAGTACTTCTTGATTTTCAAATTCAATAAACGATCCGAAGAAACTCAAGGTTAACTACTTCTTGTTGTTGGAGGTGCAATGCTTTTCAAATTTTGGACAAACCCCTCTTTGTTTCCTTTGATATAAAGCCATCGTATCTAGGAGATTCAGGTACTATAAAATGGACTAAAAATGAATATAAAATTGTAGGCAAACAAGTCCAAAGGTAAAGAATTCTCCATGTAGAACCTCTGTTTATAAATGCCAAAGTTGGTAATGAAATAAATCCCATAGTGAAACAGAGAAAGCCAATGATTCCAACTTGGCCTCGCCATCGTCTTCCCACGAGTTCTGTAGACAAGACAAGCGTGCAAGTGCCAATTGTAGCTCTCCCAAATCCAGAAAAAAACCTCAAGAATGAGTACATCCATATATTGGTGGAAAAAATAGTGACTGCTCTAGTAATGGACATCAAAAGACATGACAAAACCAACATATTTTTTCGACCAAGTGAGGAATCAGCTAAGGCGGAGAGAAGGAAACCTCCTGAAATTAAGAGACAGACCTTGATTGTTAGAACTGAATTCAATTGGACTCATCCAGTAACGTAGACAGGAATTCCGTAAGGGTGTTTAAACTTTAAACAAGTCAATAAATTTTGTATCAATGAATGGTATAAACTATTTGAAAAAGAGTGAAATAC